ACTCAAACAATTGATGATTGATCTTACGTTTGTTGGGATGACCCAATCTCGGTATGTGAGACATTGCGTAGGTGCTTGCAGCACAACTCTCATAGTGATAAGCGCGGAGATCCGAAGTGACTCTTTGATGACAGCGGTCTTATCAGCACGTCGACATTAGTGGGATGACCTTGGATCAAAGATAGATAACTCGCATGGGGTTGATGCACTCACCGTCCACGGCAAGCTTTCGAGCTTACCCAGCGGCACATCCATATTGGAGTCTGGCATCGCGGCTCTCAGCTCTTGCTTTAACTTGGCAAGGTGATTTGGATTTGAGAGTAAGTGATATACAGCAGTGGTCAGAGTTCTGCCGATTGTATCTCCCGAAGCTGTCAAGACAGTGAAGCCTTCTTGGGCTATTCGCTTGAAACCCTTCTCGCCCTGAGGCAAGTTCGAATTAAGAATCGCTTGCATTAGGCTGCCGTTGTCCTCTTTAGTACCGATGGATGCCAACGAGTCTTTAATGGCCTCCTTTGCTTGATCATCCATGTCCTAACAGAATATTAGACTTGTTCAAATTCGTTTAGTGACTGCACAATTTATCGACTTACCAACAAAAGCTGGGTTACTAAGGCCAAATCTGACGATACTCGTCGGATGAGCCACATTGGGAGCCCAAACACGAATGATTGAATCCATGGGAACTGTCTGACAATAGGGGTGAAGTGAAGCAGACCGGTGATACTTTCTCTCCACTTCTGGGCCTTTGCCTGGTCTTTTAGTAAGTGCATGTCACCTGTCTCGCCAAGCGCATGGGCACAGTAGAAGTCGGTTGTATAAGCCAACAGCGGGACACGAATATCGAAGGGAATGCCCTCTCTGGCGCAATTCTTGAAAACTTCGCAGAGTTGTTCAGCCTTCTCGTGGATGAGTCCTTCGTGGACAACCACAGACTGCTTGGAGAAGAAGCCAGAGATGGCAGACCGGCGCATTCGATGAGTATCGTGGTTCAAGGTCCCAAAGATGCCACCAGGAGCGCCCTGGACACTGGCACTCGGCGGGTACTTGTCACGGCGAGCGCTCCCTCCAGCGAACAGGACGTCGAAAAAGTGGTGGTCACTGACGTGAAGTTCGTGAGGGTTTATGCGTACGATAGGGCCATAGTCGTCATGCATCTGTTGAATCTTGTAGGCGAAAGTCTTGCCAGGTGCACCAAAGAGTTCGTGGTAGGTCTCATACCAGCCAGTGAATGCTGTCAGTTTGGGACCAGGGAAATTCGCGAGAGGATGGAACGTGATGTTGTAGATCCCTACACATATGAGATAAAGAAAAAGGAGTCCTGGGAAGATCGTGACAAGGTTGCCCAAGAAGAGTCTGAAGGTAGTGTCGTTCCTTAAGATACCCATGGTCAATAGATTTTTCTTATTACATGTAGAAGGACAACTTTAATGCCTGGCTGGCGAAGGAGAGCAGCTTTGAAGTATTTCAATGCTGCCGCTAATGGGATATCAAATTTTCCTAGGTTTTCCCTTCTGACACCTCAGCGAAAGAAAACGAAGTGCCCGATGCCAGCTTTCTAGAATATTCATCAGACCAAGGTAGACGTAGATGCGAGCGACCTGACTATTGCCAGCGGCGAGCTATGTTATCACCGCCTTGTCTCTCATGGCGCCCTGGCATGATTCTAGACAACCCCCAACCATCCGCACCGCTTGGCCACTCCACCGTTGATTAGCTACTTCTAGATGTTTTGCTGCATATTTCATGCAGATCCCCTGCACTTGAGAGGCCAGCTCAACATCAGTACATTGCGGCACGGCTACTAAACTATCCCGGATGAGCAGCATTTCATGTTGGGGATTATGGGCTCCGAGGTGCTGCCCAGCGAGTTCCAAGAATAAGACTTGTTTGATTGGTACCGACTGGCTAAGAGGAACAAATGAACCCAGCAAGACGTCAATGAAGGTTACAATGTGTGCGTGCTTACCCCCAACTCAATCAAGCATGGTTGGGGCAATTCCAAGAATGGCAACGCTTCGGCCTTCGATCTTGCCCCATGACGACTTCAGCGTAATCGAGCATTTACCTCTTTCGTCCATAGTACAAGGACCTCAAATGCGATGCCAAGGCGAACATAACACAAGGATTCGGATACACCAGTTTAGCGTAGGCCTTGCCGGTACGCCGGCGACACCATCCGCGGGGTAATGAGTCTCCAACAAATCCGGAGCTCGGAGTTACACTGATTACGGCCTTTATGCAGTCAACATGCACAGCAAGAGTTGCATCACAAGCCAACAGCATGTGAGGTTTCATCGGCTTGGCATGTAGGTACTTCGAAGTTCAGGCAGGTTATACGTGTTGGAACCTCGAGTCCGAGGAGTGTATTTTACAGCGAATTGGATTGCTTCATTGCGCCAGGTGGCTGCTGATAAAGATAGAAAAACATCGACATCAGGGTTTTCTAGATTGACGGCCTCAAAAGTGAACAGGTGAGGGCTCTCTCAGTTTGGATAGTACCCTGTCTGTCTCATGGAATCACCGAGCTCTAGGGGCAATGACCCCGAAATGCAGTAATGACGCCTTTCCCACGTTGGCTTCATTCACAAATCAAGTTTTCTCTTTCAACTGCGAGATATTCGATAAGTGAGGCATCAGAAGAAAAGAAAAACAGGAGGTATGATCTCCGCAATCCAATCAAGTGAATATTCATGAGCGTCTTAGTCGTGTTTGGACAAGTATCTATAAACGGCTGCCTCATATGTACACTTCATCAATAGTAAGGACCACAATCTCACGTTGCTCATTTCCAGAACCTACCATTGTGTATTAATGAACGAGAGCATCGGCGATGGCTTGCCTCGGCGTCCGTCAGACCCTCATCCAACAGCTCAGGGGTAAAGATCTTCGTATTCCGGATCTCAGCCTGCTCTTCAAACAATGGCCAAAAGACACAAGCCCTTGCCTGGAAGGCCTTCGAACTCTTTCTGGAGAGCGGATCGCAAGGTACGGCACCGGATAAAGCCTCCAGTCAGTCTTTAGCAGCATGGCTAGCTGACTAGGCTTTGTTTAGCTTCACTGAGTTGCCCAAGAGCCGAATTTCAATGTCAAAAATCGATGTAGGACTATTCATATCAACTTGGTACCCTGGAGTGAACCTGGAACGGGGAGATATCCTGTGTTGTGTAGTCCTCTGGGTGCGTTCACTTTCTTTTTCAAGTTGTATGCAATTAACTCCAGCTAAACATTTCAGCTATTCACATGGGATGACCGTAAGTGTACGAGATGACTGCTACAGGTTTTTCGACTGACTCCAGCAGAAATCGATGAAAAGGGGGGGCATCTGTACGACAATCTTCAAGCCGCACACGTTTTCCGGCGCGAAACCCTCGAATACGTGCGACACTGCCTTCGTCTTTCCGACAATGAGGCCTCCCATGAAGTCCGGACGAATTATATCATCGCTTTCTTCAAAGTGATTGGCGATGCGGTGTGCGAGGCTTATGACTACGGTGAGTCTTTGGCCGAACCTCTGATCGCACCGGGTTCTCTCAGGTCAATTCGTTGCTATCTCTGACTTATTATGCATCAATCAGATCACCGAGAGATTCTTTTCGATGAGATCAAGTTCTTCATAGAGACCTCCGAAACAGAACAGCAGCGTCGGCTTGGCCCTGAGCTCCCGTCTACGCGAGAATACATTGCAACCAGGATGGGAACAGGCGCAGTCAACGTCTGCTTGTTCTTCATTGAGTATGCATATTCGAATACATCTACTTCGGGAGGTTATTGGATGCGCTGACCTTACTAGCTATGCCTGCGGGGTCTCTGTCCCGATCGAAGTCCTCAGAGAGGTGGAAATGAGGACATTATGGGACCAGGCGAACATTCTCGTATGGGCGTATGTTGACTAAGTACTCATATCAATGCGTGTGTATCAGAGCACTAACGGAGACAACCAGCGTCAATGACCTCCTTTCTCTTAAGAAAGAGATAGTAAGCCATCCTCAACGTGGTCTTTCTTTTCTTCTAATAGTAGCGTGTTTGCTGACTCTCAGCCCGAAGGCACAGCAAACGGTCGAGAGCATTGTCCCCTTGCTCTTCAGAGAAACGGAAAGTCTTGATGTTGCAGTCTCCATGGTCACTGAAATGATCCACAAGGCTATCACTGAATTCAACCATGCCGCCGAGTGCCTGATGGCTAAGTTTTCCGATGATGAAACATTAGCGGCTAACCTCAAGACTTACATTGATGGTTGTAAATACATCTGCACTGGCAACCTGACTTGGAGTCTTCAGACAGGCCGGTATGGCCTTTCGCAGCATTCAATTTCCGGGGGCTTGGCTATGCGCTTGTAAAGGGAAAGACTGCAACATCCATAATAGCTTCAGTTAGCTAGTCCTGCAGTAGTTTATGAACAGAAGTAATAGTGACGATTCCTTCGAAACAGCAAGCGCGCAATAAAGTACTTCGGACTAAGTCAACTCTCTCAATAGCGTGCTACAAGATTACGCAATTGACTATAACGTTATCTGGTCATGTCACGATTGTAATTACCAAAGCCGCGGCGCCCAAGGCCCTTAGCGCTTATGAATCAGGTAAGGTAGCTAGCTCATCGTATGAACTTCATTTGTAATGGCCATACCTGCTAACTATAATTGCCATGATCTGGCCGTTTCCCCATCGACTGCGGCATGATGCCGGCATACAAGTCTCTAGTTTTCTCCAATGCTGATTCTTTTTCAATCTTCGACGAAGTCCGCCGGATTGAAGTACCTAAGACGGGGCATCTTGGAATGATACGTAATTTGATATTACCCCTCATCCGTAGTACGTATCTATGCACCAACGCCATGCCACAGTCGATGGGATATGAGCTGACTAGATCAGTAGTCAAGTTAGACGCGTTGGTATTTCAGAGATATTCAACGGAAAGCGTTGGTGAAAGAGCACTTACGTGCAATCTTCACCTCTCGATAGTGCAGTTACATCGATCCACTGAAGAGACCCAAATACCATGGTGCAAGCGATCCCCGAAATAAGCAGGCAATGGAAGGTTGTCGGTGAAAATGGATCAGATTCTCTACAGTTTTCGGATGAGAAGTCTCCAGAGGTCGGTGATAGCCAGGTTCTAGTCAAAAGTTGGTGCAACACGTTATCCCTGATCGCCCCTTTGTACGTGTTATAATCACTCACACCTGCTCCTAGTCCAAGGCGCCACCTTGAACGTTAGTACTCACTCCCGTTTGATTTATATTCCAGTTGACTGAGCTTCCCGATAGTACCGAGATGTCACGATTACTGAGGGCACATACCCTTGGGACGTCAAACCGGACGTTGTCCCAGGGTCTGACGGCGCAGGCACAGTACTAGCTGTCGGAAAGCATGTTACCCGATTCAAACCAGGCGATGAAGTGGTTACGGCGCTAGCTCAGAGATACATCGCAGGTCCACTCAGCGACGACCTTCCACAGTCTGGACTTGGTGCCGTACTCGATGGCACTTTTCGCACCATCGGAGTCTTCGGCGAGCAGGGTCTCGTCCCGCTGCCTCGAGGCTTGAGCTTCATTGAGGGCGCAGCCCTGACTTGTGCTGGTGTTACTGCTTGGAACGCCCTCTTTGGACTACCCGGCAGGCAAGTCTCGGCCGGGCAATGGGTTCTCACGCAGGGTACGGGCGGAGTAAGCATCTTTGCCATTCAATTCGCCAAAGCCGTCGGAGCGAGGGTCATTGCCACCACTAGCTCTGCCGAGAAGGCCAAACTTCTTGAGAGGCTCGGTGTTGACCATATCATCAACTATCGTGAGACGGTCGATTGGGGAAAAGAGGCCAAAAGGTTGACCGGAGGCGTTGGCGTGGATTTGGTCGTCGAAGTTGCGGGACCAACGACTCTGAGACAAAGTCTTGTCAGCTGCAGACTAGACGGAACTATCATCACCACGGGGTTTGCTGGCGGTAACCCGTCTGAGCACGACATGCCAACGTTTTTGGATTCGTGGCTGAGCCTAGTTACGGTTCGAGGAGTTTGGTGTGGCAGTCGGTTACAGCTTGAAGAGATGTCTCGAGCCATCGAGGCCCACGTAGACAGGTTGCGCCCTGTCATTGATCCCAAGGTCTTCAATCTGGAACAACTAAAGGAGGCGTACGAGTATCTGCAGTCAGGAAAACACCAAGGAAAAGTTGGCATTGAGATCAATTGAAGCGGCTGAGCATTGCTCAGATGGAAATTGTCTTTAATTCGCAATTCCTCCACGAAGGATGTCTCTTCGATGCAAAAACAAGGTTTCTTATGCATTCTTCGCTGGGCATCACTTGTGGACATGAACCAGGTCTTGATCTTTCTCTGTAACTCATCATCGTTGTTCAGTAGACACCAATAATTCAGATTTTATTGGGTAGGAAAACCCCATCAGTATCCCAAGAGATTTGTCTCTGGAAGCAGGCATTAGTGAGGCTCAAGGCAACCTTTCTGACCGAGTTTGCACTTGGTCAGAACGATGTACTCAGCGTGTTTTAAACCTTGACTTTGCGGCACAAAATACCAAACATCATGAAGAAGCATGAAGAGCAAATTGGCAGGACATTTGCTATTCGTATAGGTAGACGCATCGATGAACGAGGATAGTCTAAGAGACCCAGCAACTGATCATAGACCAAAGCACAACACCAACTTCGTCAAATGACTTATAAACTGTGCCGACAACCAACTTGCTGCTTTCTGTTGAGTCATGGCTAACTTATCTCATACTCACCAATGCAGCTCAAGATTGAGAGATGTAAGAAGCAAAAGTCTAAGCTCCTGGTGTTTGGCCAAAGCTTCCCGAAAGGAGCTTCTCCGCAATGGGTAGACAAAGTCAATTATACTACACTCACTATAGACACATGGCCTGTGTTATGCCCTTTGTTTTCAATAAGAGTAGAGTTCATGCAAACTTCGTGCCCCTAACTCTAAAGTCAAAATTTTCTGCCGGCAGATTATACCCTCAATCCGAAGCAATTCTGCCTCAGAGTGTCAACATTCTTCTACCTGCGGGGCAGAGATGTGTCACTGAGATCAATTTACGTCATTCACCCTTATCATCTGCTCTCATCTCCAACACTCATGCTCATCTGCACATGTTTCGGATGATTGCTCACTGATATTTCGCTCGCGACCAATTCGTCTGGTCTTAAGAAGGAAACTTCCAAACTCTCCTCACTCAATTGCCAGGTGCATCTTGAGCAAATCGTTCGGCTGAGTATTCGGCAAAATAGTCCCTCGCTTAGCAATTGTCCACCAGCGAGAAGAACGGATCGTTAAACTTCCCGGGGAAACGAAACGAAAAGAGCGTTGCCCCAAAACGCAGAGACCATGACGGGACGAAGCTGAGGTGGTGCGCGTGTCCAGCTGGGAAGCAAATGCTTGATTCAGGCCAATCGTCTTGCAAAGATGTCGGACGTTAAACGTCCCGATACCTCACAAGTGCCATGCGTCTAAAACCTTCCGACTTTGGCGCAAACTTCATTAGATGACCAGAGCTCATCATTGTAAACATGACTTGCTGAGACTGCGCTTATTGATGAATTACAACATCTCAACTGGCTTTTGAGGCTTCAACAACGCCTGTCCCACATCCCGGCTCCAACCTCTGTAGCGAGTGTCAGGTTAATTGCAGATTCGTGGAATCCGATGGGGGTCCCTGCTTTCGGGCTCTAGGCCGGTTGGTTCGACGCGCCCCTGACTCAAAGAGATTAGTCGGTGGAGACGGGAGAGAATAAGGGGTGGTGCGCCTCAACTGGGCAGAAGATAGCAACTTCACCCGCATATCAACTCGCACTCTAACAACGCTTGTTGGTCGATGTCATGTTCCTGATTGACATGAAACGCTGTCATTAGAAAGATGCACGTCTTGATCCCCACAAAATCCTTCTTGCTCAAGAATAAGCGCCTGATCGGTGCAACGGCCGACGCACTAAACAAACCTAGACAGATGATGTTGGCCATTTCAAGTCATATCGACAGAGCCCGTTGATTCCGAATGGATCCAACCTAACAAAGCCCTGCAATATCCACCGAGCCGCGTTGCCAGGCATGCCAGTCATTCCCAAAATGTGTTGTTCACCCGTTCGGACGGATGAGGGTCGACAAATGTCCTCCAATCAGTGAGGCCATATTCTTCTTCTGTTGCGGTCGCCAAGACTGGATCTGGAAGATATATAACACATTACCTTGGCACCCTACTTGGCATTTGTTTCCCCAGCCAGTCTCCGATTCTTCACCACCACTCACTTTCTTGTTCGATTCACTACCGTCGTTCTCTTTTCTCCACGCCAAGATGGCCAAGTTTTTCGCCCCTGCTGCGGCTCTGCTGAACGTCGTTCTGGTAGCGGCGTCTCCTCGTGGCCACCACGGATCTCACATTCGTTACACAAACACCATTCCTCGCGCAAGCAACGCAGTAAGTCAGCCCTATGCGATCCACGATCCATCTGATGCGCGCCAAGACCCGGCAATCTGACTGACCCGTTTCTCGCCCACTTTAGACCGGCTGCGTTGTCACCAAGTACGACGACATTGCGAACGCCGTCAAGACATGCACCGATATCACGCTCTCTAACATTGCTGCGCCCTCCAACGGTGCTATCGATCTCTCCAAGCTTCAGACAGGTACCAAGGTCACCTTTGACGGCACAACCGTATGTTTTCTCTCGACTTGCCACTGGAAGAAAGATCTGGTGCTAACTCCGTGCTCAGACTTTTGCCGATACCGTCGACAGCAGCTTCGACCCCATCATCATCTCCGGAACCAACATTGTTGTTACTGGCGCTCCCGGACATGTGATTGAGGGCAATGGTGCGGCTTACTGGGACGGTCTTGGATCCAACGGTGGTGGCGACAAGTGAGTGACTACTTCCTTAAGGCAGACGAAGATTTAGAGCTAACCATTGAAATCAGGCCCAACCACTTCGTTGTCGTCAAGAAGACCACCAACGCCAAGATCACCAACCTGAACATCAAGAACTGGCCCGTCCACTGCTTCTCCATGACCGGCAACCAGGGTCTCACTGTCTCCGGCCTCGTCCTCGATAACTCTGCCGGTGACGCGCCCAACTCCAAGAGCGGCAGCAAGGCTGCCGCCCACAACAGTGACGGTTTCGACATCTCCTCCAGCGACAACGTCCTTCTCGAGAACATCAAGGTTCACAACCAGGACGACTGCGTCGCCGTCACCAGTGGAACCAAGATCACTGTCAACAACCTCTACTGCTACGGAGGTCACGGCCTCAGCATCGGCTCCATCGGCGGCAAGAACAACAACACCGTTGACGGCGTTGTTTTTTCCAACTCCCAGGTCGTCAAGAGCTCCAACGGCTGCCGTATCAAGTCCAACTCCAACACCACTGGCGAGGTCAGCAACGTCACGTACAAGAACATCACCCTCACCGATATCGACACCTACGGCATTGATGTCCAGCAGGATTACCTCAACGGTGGCCCAACTGGCTCGCCCACCAACGGAGTCAAGATTTCTGGCATTCACTTCATCGATGTGACTGGAACTGCCACTAGCGACGCCTACAACTACTACATCCTCTGCGGTGACGGCAGCTGCTCCGACATCACCTTTGAGAACACCAAGATCACGGGAGGCGGCAAGACCAGCAGCTGCAACTTCCCCGCCAGCGGATGCCCGGCATAATCGAAAAGACCGTTCTCTGTAAATATTCAAACAATGTGAATAAGGATACAACGCATATATTACGATCTCGTTTTCGCCGACGGCTTCGGCAATCCGGCACGGGGCATGTGGGACTTCCGGCGCCGGGTGGGTCCTGGAACAGCTTAGCTAATTGAATCATCTTTCATCATCAGATGCCCTAGCTCGCTCAGTGAACAGTGAACTGACATGTCTGCTAATCAAGTATGAATGATCTTTATGACGGTTATCGAGACTTTCGATACATCCCCGGATATTGGTGACCGTATTGTAGCTTTTTTTTGGCTCCTCATTGTCACGTCTTGTGGCAGAGCCGATGTGTTCCGTCCACAGTCTTTTAGGGGCTTGACCAGCGCCCTCCGTGGCGCCTTGGCAGACCCCTCAGACTGCATTTAAGCAGCAACGACCCCTAACCCCCCAAGCCTGCACTACCTTACCGTCCTTCCTATGAACATTACAGCGACCGGAAATGGACTCTGAAAATACACGAAATCAGCCTTCGAGCAGCGCACCACGTCGACAAGCGCTCAATGTGAGCACTGAGGTCAAAAAAGGCTGGGCGTTGCTAACAATCTCGCAAGGTCTGCGCGCCATGTCGTGAGAGGAAGACGAAATGTGATGAAGCAAAACCTTTTTGCGGGCGATGTAGAAGGTTAGGGCTGCAATGTGCATATATCGAAACCGTCACATCGAAGTAATGTAGTATGCTTGCCCTAGTGAAGAGTTACAGTCGACTGACTTTCATCAAGGAAGAACCTCTCTGTCACGGAGTTGAATGACACACTGAAGCGGATGGAAGCTAAGCTGGATGCTCTCATGGAGAGTACTCACGACTTTCGAATCACTTCAGATGGGCAGTCACGGCTACAGAACCATCACGAACCGACAGTTGAGAACCCTGACCCGATGGAAGCAGTCAGTCCGATGAGCGTATTCTCGCCTTCCAAGCTAGGATCGGTCCAGATCCGCCAGGAACTCGCCATCCCGGAGAAGCACTACACGGCACCACAGCATCTTCTCTCCTGGCCTTGTTCTCCGGTCACTCTGACGGAGCTTGATCTACGATACCCAGTCGCGTTGGAGATTCAACGACCCAAGATACGCAGAAGTAGAGCACCCCCACGATGCCTTGTTGAAAGTTCCTCGCGAGATGATGGCTGGCTGTCCAACCTGTCGCTGGCGCAATTGCGTGACCTAGCCGACTCTTACTTCAGTCACTTCCACCCGCAGTATCTTGTGTTGGACGAAGACCGATTCTATAGCCATCATCTCAATCAAGCTCTCAGAGTGGGGTTTGCTCGCAATCTTGATAGCTGCTTGGTGGCACTCGTCCTCTCGCTCGGCTCTGTAGCTGCCTGCCAGACTGGTAAAATAGAATGGGCCCAGTCCGACTCAACGGATGCCATGTTAGATCACGAGGCTGGTCTCGGGTTCTACACCATTGCGTGCGATATGTTCCGAGATGTTGAAGAAACCGACTGGGTGAGCGTCCAGTGTCTTT